TAAGGTCAAACGCAGGTATAATGGCTGGTAACCGAGATCCAGTGAACCAATCAGAAAGCTAGAATTGCATTATCCGAGGCTGAGAATTTAATAATTAACAATTATTCCACTCGCGCTTGTTGGATATGAGATGATAGATAGTCATCTCATTTCCAACAAACGTGAGTGAGATAATTGTTTTATTAAAAAAAAACGCTCCCAAACAATAGGAAACTAAAATAAATTAAAAGTAGAAACGTCTCAAAAAATTACACGCACTCTTATCACGTTTGTAGAGCTTGGTATAATGGCTCATATACCACGATGGCTAAGCCAATGAAAACTCTTGAATTGCATTATCCAATGATCCGCCAGGTTTTGATAACAACTGATATAGCTCAGTACTTACCACATTATCGGGCAGGTGATGTAAACGTACGCCTGCTTCGTGCAGGCACTTTCCAGTTTTCTTGATGCACTCCAAATGTTTACAGGCATCATCCCCAGCTTTCTTGTGGCACATAATTGCCCCAACAATGCATAATTTCTGTGAAGAAATTTACATAAAAAGAAAGCAATTTTCAATTCTTGGGTTTCTTAGCAACATTGGTACTTTAAGACAAAATCCGAAAGGAAATCGAGCAATTTCAGCTATTAGTGGACAAAAACCTAGTACTAAAATATTATTAATTAGGTATTTTGCAGTCCTATTTATATTAAGATATAAATAGTTGCCTGAAATGAGGTCTGAAACTGAACACCGAAAATTTTACCATGAGAACTCGAGAAAATAAATTTCAAAGTTCAGAGAAATTGTGCAAACACTGCAGGTAAAATATGATCATCAGTTTCATTTCACCAGCAGTTTCAAGTGTTTCATACGAAGTTTAAACTTTGTTTTCGACATTTGGTTTTGCTAGAAATGATTTTTTTTAAAGATATTTTAAACAGCAGAAGTTTGCAATGCGTCGTAAATAATCTCAGTACAAAGTTTTTGCCCTCTTGTTACTCGAACTTCTGGTGGATTCCTTCTTAAATGTTTTTATTAACCTTTCCTCTGAGTCCATGCTAAAATCTTTTTTTTTTTTTATTAAGCATATGCATTTTTAAGCCCACACTAATCATTCTAGAATCAAAACTGTTACTCTTCCTTTGGTGGCCACGGTAGCTGCTAGAAACAAAAATAATGAAATTATAAGCATTTTTTTTTTCTTACTTTAAGGTTTCGGTCAAAATAACTAAACTCAAAGTTTCATATTAATCCTTAGTTTTTAATTCCCTAGCTTTCCGAGAAACCGTTCCTTGGCGGCTCTTCCAATGAAAACGCCAGCTTGAAAATATCAACTATTCAAAAGCTAAATTTACTGAAAATATGTGAGGGCATAGATAGAGAGCATGTCTTTTTGCTTAATACTGAGTACTTACGACTGGTAGGGAAATTCCAGTTGGCTTGAAGCTTGGTGAAAAGCTTGGCTTACCGCTCGGCAACCCCCTCGCTTTGACTATACTGCGAACTTTCCTCGCCATTTCACGATCTTCCATCTCCAGATAATGCAATACAGCTTGAGGATGATATTCCATCTCCGCCCAAGCGCATGCGGCCACCGCCGCGAGAAACAGCAAAGCTATCATTGACTTCATGTTGACGCGCCTAATCTGTGCTCTGGAAAACACGATGTGCAAAACGATGGGCGTGTTAGTTTATATAGAAAATGGTACGTGCTGGAGGGCGTCGTACGCATGCGTCGTGACTTTATAGGGACAAACACGCTCAAGGCGTATTTAAACAGCTTTAAAACTACGTGGGCCAAACGTTACGCTTGTTTATGAAGAAACTGAAGATCAACGTTAATTTACGAACTCTTTTGAAATTAAAGATTGTAAGTCAACATGTTGTTACCTCGGAACTTATTCTTTCGTTTCCCTCACACATTTTCTCGACAAGGCTTTGTGAAGGTTGTTTTAATTGTACGTGCGGCAGTGTAATTAATTTTTCCTGAACAAATTTAAAAAAACAACAGATTTTTTCCGTGAGGCTATGCATAGCGTGAAATGTATACGGAAATCTATTGTACATTTTCTTTTATTTCCAGCTTTCTCCTAACCCCATCTAGAAAAAAAAAGACCTTAGAATCTTGCTCGATAGTAGCCGTGATAAAGACTTACAGTTGTTGAATGGATGCACGTGTTAACCATAAATTTGACTTTAAGAACCACTTTAAATTATTCGGTAGGAAGAGAGCCGCTTTACGTAAGCGATTGCAAACTTCAAAAAAAGAGGAAATTATGTGTACTGTTGCGAGTTAAGGTGTATTTTGCTCAGTTTTTCTCGTCCTCTTACAGAAACTGACTTTGCGCAGTCGGAGGCTGCTTCAAAAAAATATGCAAGTATTCTCGGGATCTTCAAACACTTGTAATATTAAAAAAATATCTTCCTGTGATTGAATGCTTTGAGTCAAGTTAAAGGAAATAAGATCATGAACACACACCTCGAAAAACTCGTCATCTTTTTTGCCGTTCGTCATCTTCAACTCAACCACTGCTCTTATTTCTTCATAGTACATATTTTGATCTTTTTGTCCATTAAAACAGGACACGCCTTGTACGCCCTAGTTTTGGCCCTGGTATGATTTGCATTAAAGAATTATGTTCCATGTTCATAGTATTTTTTTATGATTAGTCTTTGTCGAAAATGAAAGGTGATAAACATCGCGTTCATCACGCCTTCAGTGCATATAACATATAGAATCCGAGACAAATTCAAGTTACAATATCTTCTCCACGAAAATCAGGGCTGTAGCAAGAGAAAAATTATGACTGAGACTATGCCCATGGTTAAATTTTCTAACTAGGTATTTGGGGTGTTTATGATAACGAAAAACAACAAAAATGAAAAACAATGACTGAGCCAAGTACCTCGACTTGCCTTTTACTAGCTAACAGTTGTTAAAAGAAGAAGAGGTTTCACTGCTTGTCAATTTCCTGCTTGTTTTGTGTTCATTGAAAATGTTAAGCATCTGAGTTCATTACAAAGCTTTTGTGATATTTTAGTTTGCCATATGAGTAATTTTGAAACCTTTACAAACCAGATAAACTGTAAGAATCTTTTTATTTTCCATGACAATTAGTCTTCGCTACGTGGGTGCTGAAAAATAATTTAAATTCTACGAAAATATGCTCAAATCCGCATAACAATAAATTACAAAAACCTGAAAACTACAAACACCAACATTGCAGCCGAAGAGTCAAAATAACGGAGGCTAAAAATGGTAAGACTTAAATGCGTCTATTAAGTCATGGTAGATAAGCTTTTAAAAGCAGATAAGTGTTGAAATCCACGCCAGTGAAAGGTATTTACCAAGAAAATACTTAAGTAATCTGCCTTCCAACATGGAAAACGTGTACCGTTTCACAGTCACTTTGACAATGTTATGACGTGATTTATTATCAATAAGAGGACAGACGCATAAAAAAACTGACGTCAATTTGCTAATTTTTAGTTAAATTACGCTTGTTCAAATTTGTGATTTTAGCCACTTTTCGTGGAAGACTGAGGTCAAGTAAATATTGCTTCTGATTAGGAGTTTTAGATTTTCTTGCGTTAGCGGTATTATTACCCTTTTCAATAGCGAAGACAAACTTACACCACTAAATACTCTACTCTACTCTGTCTTCCGAGCAACATGGAAGCCAAAAGCAACAGCTAGGACGAATCTCGAAAGCGAGAGTAATATATTTGCAAAAACAACGATTGTTTGCCAAAAACACTTAAGGGTTACTGGCGTAATTTATAAAAGTATTTGTTTACAATTTTCTCTTGTTATAATAAACAAGCAGGAACACTCCAGGCTAGCTTTGAACAAAGCCTATCGTCCGGTGAAGTAATAACACAATAACAGAAGCGCGCGAAGCAAGCGCTCATTGATTACGCTTTTGTGTTTTAGTAAGTTTTACTTACCTAGGTGAACAAATATTGAATTACAGAGACTTACGTATTCAGCAACGCTTAATTAACAAGCCCGCGAGTTTGGGTTGAAGTTTTGTCAATACAGACGCATACCGTTCGAATAAAATTGTCTCATTTTCGTAGCGTTTTAAAATTTTCCTCTTTCGAAATAAAAAAAAAGCTCTTTTGTATTTTAAGCGATTCGTTACGTGTAAGACGTTCTGAGTCCTGTCAAATATTCAAAGCCTTTTATAGGGAATTTCAAGAAATTTCCGTTTTGGCTTACGGTGCATGTGAGACCTAAGGAGATCTTTGGTTTCTAACTAGTGTTTTATCGGAAGGTTTAATAAACAAAAGAAGAGGCCTACAAGAGCATNAAGTCTTTTGTGTTATAAGCGATTCGTTACGTGTAAGACGTTCTGAGCCCTGTCAAATATTCAAAGCCTTTTATAGGGAATTTCAAGAAATTTCCGTTTTGGCTTACGGTGCATGTAAGACGTAAGGAGATTTTTGGTTTCTAACTAGTGTTTTATCGGAAGGTTTAATAAACAAAAGAAGAGGCCTACAAGAGCATTACAAATCATGGGGGATTTATTGGCCTTCCCTAGCAAAATAACAACGTAAAATTGCAAAATTCTACGTATTAAGAGGACGTGAACAAAATCAACTTAATTTTCTAAAATTAGAGTTCACAAATGTCATTACATATATATTTTGCGCTTGAGCGAGTTACGCACCGAACCGATTGAAACTTGATATTAGCAAATTATTTTCAATCCCAGAGTCGTCCTCTGCGTCGACGAACGGTCATAAGCTCACGTAATTTTGCCAGAGAGTTCATAATCTGCAGGAATAATCTTGTTTTGTTCTCACTAAAATGTTTTGAGATGAAAATCAGTGGGAAAAAAGAAGAAAACAAAAACTCCGACAGCTTAGCCGCTCGTAGTGGGTGCAAGGTTGATGTCTATGAAGCCATACACAAATATAATGAGTAAGTATGTAAACTGAGCAGACTCGAAGATATCCGACCAATTTAAAAACGTTAATTTTCTTCCGTTGGTGTTCCCTTAACTTGTCCTTCATATCTCAGATAGTTTATTATAATCCTGATGCAGATAAAGGTACTTCAAATCTTGAGTATGATTTAATGTGTGTAAGTCTGACTTCTTAGTGACAACAAGTAACATATCTGTTCTCTTTTTTCTGCGCAAAACCAAATAGATTATTTAAAATTGCGACTTTGCGAGAAGACTAAGCTACAAGTTTGAACTTTACCAATTTTCTTGACAGTAGAAAAGATAAAAAC